GGGGTGAATCTACCCCTCCCATCATCCTTTTCCCCCGCCCTCACCTCCCTATTGATTCTAAACCTTAACCAAATAAGATATTGTATATTGTGTTATGTAAATATATGTAACTAGCTGACCCGGCGAACTTTGTACCGCCTAACAGTCGATTATTTTTTTATTTTTTTAATACTTATTCTGCTATTCGGGACACCGGGTCAGCTAGTAAGATAAAAAAGAAAAAAGAAAGTTGATAAATTAACAATTATATTATGTCAAGAAATAAAAATATAAAACACTTAAAATTCTTTTAATAGTCACTAAAAAATCACAATGAAAATTTCAATTTCTGATTTCTTATTATGATACCTACTTATTATATTTCATTTTATTTTTACTTATTCTAAATTAAGTTTCCATCGTATAAATATTGACAAATATTTACACGATACGATATAATATTTATTCGATACTAACGTCACACAAATGTTTTGTCTTCCCGGAATCCCTCCACTAACACTTAAACTTTATGGTATGATATTAAAGTTTTTGACTTTTAAGTATTATTACGAATCTTTTGTATGGGAATATAGAAGTGTTGTTTTTAGACTTTTTCAGGCAATTTTTTAAATTTTTCTCTCCGTAAGAACCATTTTCGTAATTCAAGGAATATTATAAAAAAGAATTAGCGAAATCGGTTCAGCTGCTCTCGAGATTTGCGCTTAGCAACACATTCAGCGATTCATTTTTTTATTATAGATATCTATTAAAGTTGAAATCACATCATAACTTTCATCATCTAAGGGAAATATTGTTATAAATAGCTTTTTCTTGTTATTATTTTTTTCGCTTCTTACACCATCTAATTGGCAAGTTTAATAATGCATTTTTAATTTTTTATCAATTTTGTAAATGAAGAACGGCTCCTGTAACAAAATTAAAAGCAATGTAAATAATTAAAATAAATATAAATGGAACCGTTTGATTTGACATTGGAACCTATTTGATTTGACAATTTTTTTGATAGACATATTAAGAGTTAACTGACATTAAAATTTGCCCAAGTTTCGTACATATAATTCTAACTATGGAAGTTACACTTGCTTGCACCAGCCTGTGCGTACGGTAGAATCAAAGAGTATAATAATGAGTATCACAGGCTAACTAGGTAACTAGTAGATTCTATTCCTGTAGGAATAGAATCTACTACTACTACTCTAGGAGTTAGCCTGTGAGTAAACATCATATTAGTGTGTGCAGTTAAGGCGCAGGTTGAGCAAAATGTCGCGCTAGTCGTTATTTGTGTGGTTTTTAGGAGCTATCTACTTTTTATTTAAAAGATATATCAACAAATAAAAAACACATTATATTTCTACATAACCTTGATTCCATAAAAGCTATATCCAATTTTTTTTTTAAACGAATAAATATTAATATAATCTCCTTACAACGAAACCACATAAATGTGAAATTATTATTGATAACATGCATCTCCTCGTAAATTAAGTATTATTTTATTTTGCGATTTACACCAATGGATAGGCAATTTATTAATGAACATTTCTATAGTAAAATTTTTTTCAAAAGACCAAAATTTGATTTTATTAAGAAATTATTTTAAAATCTGGGCGTATTCACTGCTCACGGGCTTGCTGGATTCAGTGAGCCCTGAGCTCTTCGACGTGGAACCCGTGTCGTTAGAGCGTCTGCCAGCGCCGTGTGCGCTCACGTCATCTTATCAGTCGATAACATTATAATATTATTACTTATTAGGTTATTTATAGGTAGTATTATTTGTTTGTTTTGGGTATAATGTTTCGTATTAGTTATACATATATTTGATGTGTTTTTTACTGCGCGATGAAGCTTTTTGCGTGTATTTTCTTTGAAGTAAATGCAAATAAAAAAATGAAGCACCATTAGCATGTAAGGTTCGAATCCATAATTAAAATTTCGACAAATATTATAATTTACACTATAAAAGACTAATTCAATATTATCACCCAACCACAATATTTTATTAAGTATAGTTCTGCCTCGTTGGTCTAGTGGTTGTAGTAGTGCGACTGCAGATCATGAGGTCCCGGGTTCGAATCCTGGGTCGGGCCAAAAAGTCAGTTATGAGTTTTTCATTTATGTACTAAGTTATAATTAGTATTACTAAGTTATAGTTTTTTGCTAAAATATAGTATATTATTTATTGCTTGTTTTTTCTTCTTTTTCAAAAAATAATTGAGTAAATAAGGTGTTCTATACTTATAATTCGGTAAAAAGTATCTAAGTAGGTACTAATATACCTACTTTTTACTATTAACTAAAAAATTTTAAAACTAAATTTAACTAAAAAGACTAAACTGACCATTTATTTTTTAACTCAAAACATGACATGGGTTTATTTATACTCTAAAAACTATAACTTTATACAATTAGTGTTCACTGTAAAATTATATTCGGTATAGACGGTAATTATTAAATGCAACATATTTTTTTTAATTATTAATTACATTTGTCAGTGGATTAAATTTGCTTTAATAAAGTTGGTGATGATTTTAAATAAAAATAAAATTCTGCTCAAGTTTTTTTATTGTTATCTTTGTTAACAACATCGCCTTTAGAACTCTGGAACCGTAAGTGTTTCTTTCAGACGTCCAAAATTTATTCAAAATAAAAAAATACTCTTTCTATCGGAGCATTCGTACCAGGTAGACATAAAATATATTTGATTAAAAAAAATTATGTTGAAGATTGTTGACTTTGAATACTTCCATTCAACGAGTTACGGGACAATTTTGTGTCCCGGAGCTTTGTTTGGGGACAATGGGACAGGTGACCGAGAAAAGGGACAGTCCCGTTCAAAACGGGACGTATGGTCACTTTAGCTATAACCCGGCGACGGCTCCGTGACGTAGTGGCTTAGCAATCAGTTGTTGCGCTGGGGGCCGCGGGTTCGAATCTCGCACGGAACAAATATTTGTATGGCCTACAAATAATTGTTCCGGGTCTGGATGTTTGTCCTTGTGCAATTTATGTTTGTAAACTGCCTCCACGGCACAGGAGAAAATCCTAGTGTGGGGGTAACCTTTTTTTACAATTGAAATTGAAAGATTGAACCCTTATACTTCTTGTTGATTTTTGTATTAGTAGGTAAGTATATTACTTTTCAATACGTGGCACGTAAAAATTAACAATAATCAAAAACACATCTACGAAACATCCTATTTATTTATTTATTCTTTATTGCACCAAATATTTGTACAAAAGGCGAGCTATCTATTTATTTACCTATAGTGAATAGGTATCTTTTAAACTCATAATTTTCAATGCTTCATTTTTAATATAATATAATTAATTATAAAATTTCATAATTAGATAATATATGAAAATACATAATTCTAATATAATGCAACTAATATACCGAATAAAAAAATTAAAATACATTTATCGTTGTACGCTGTGTGTATTTCCATAAATTAGTTCATTGATGTTGAAAAAATAATACTACGTTCGTACCTACAATAGGTGGTGGCGTCGTACATATTTCAAATAAGCAATATATTGAGGCGAGCGGCGTGCCGCCGGCAAAATGCTCAAGGTCGTTCGCATGGAGTAGCCCCTTAAAGTTTAACTTTAATTAATTGGGGTTTTGGCGGGAACTTGACCGGCGGCGATTTGCTGCGCCTGTATTATTGTTTAAATAATGGTTTGAAGTGGACTTTGAGTGCGATTTTGTGTATTAAGTGTCTGCGCATGTGATCTATTAGTGGACACGGTGAAAGAAGTGCTCTGATGGTGTTGTGATTCTCAAGATAAGGTGTCTGTCTGCTTAGGCGCCTTGAGATGCCATTACCAACTGCCAGCTGTCTGCTGGCTCAAGTTGCCGTCAAAATCTGCCAAGGGCTGCATAATGTGACGCATTAACATATTGTGAAGCAGTATAGGTACTATGAAGGATAATTATTATACATTTTAACTTCAGGCTCAGAAGGGCTAGAACCCGGTGCCGTAAAGCCAGTTATAAAAAAACTTTAATTAATTAATAGATTACCCGTAGATAGAGGATTGATTGATTAAGATACTAGGTCTATGAGATTACCACATAGAGTAGACAGTAGAGTGATATAAAATACCGAATTACTCACGGCTTGCCTATAGATCAAATCACGCCTCGAGTTAACTCGAGTTGAAATTCACGCAACTCGAGTTTGAACTCGAGTTACGCAACTCGAGTTAGCAGTACTAATCAGAGTAAATGTTTTGTTGCAAATTACTTTTTATAAATTTGTTTTTCTGTCAAGGTCTTTGGTGGGTTGGGATAACTATAATTATCAAACTTATTATGTAGGATTGAACTATATATAAAATTATATTTAGTATGTATAGCAGTCTTCACCTAACAATATTTGTCTAGCTTTAAGATGTAGGTACTTAAGCTATTAATAATTTATTTATCACATCACATTCAAAATATTCTTAAATAAATTCAAATTCTAAATATTCTTAAATAAATTCAAATTCTAAATATTTATTGTAAGCTTAGTGTTACATTTGGCTTTAATTCAAAATATGATGTATCTTACAACTTACTACCATTTTCGGGTAATACAATAGGTTTAAAATAATAATAGGTTTATGATGTACATAACTATATCATAATTTACAAAATTATAAAAGAAATTAAATTACATAACTTAGCTATTATAAAATTCTAAATAACAAATTGTTTTGGTTGTAACTAAATACTCTTTGAAACACAAAGCGCGCACACAACGAACGGAACGCGCTCTTACTCTTTTGCTGGCTCATTTGATCCGTTCATGTATAGCAGCCCAAACTCGAGTTAGGAAAATCCAACTCGAGTTAACTCGACTTAAGCGCAACTCGAGTTAGTAACTCAAGTTGACGCATCACTAGGTTTACCATTAGATTACTGGATTACTGTATAGTGTATAATCATAATTATAGTTTAATTTATCAAGATAATGCTGTAAGGACTAAGGTGTAAGAATACTGGAAAAACGAAAATGATGAAAGCAACAGGATTAGGCTCCCATAAGCCTCTTTCGGGCCAACTTTATAAATATACTAATGTTGTCAAGGGATGGCAGCAGAGATGGTTTGCAGTAGACCCAGAGACTGGTGTCCTTTCTTATTATCTTTTTGATGGACCAGGTGATACAATTCAGCCTGGACAGCCAGCACGAGGAGAGGTAAATTTTTTGATGTGTTTACTTTTATATTATATCACAAGAGATTATTTTTAAAATCTTATTCTTAAATTTTCTCAAAATGTAATATTGTGATTATTATATCATATTATCACAAGAGATCTTTTTAAATTTTATTCTTAAAACGTCGTAAATGTAATATTGTGATTATCATGAAGATAGATTTTTTTGTGTTTCATTATGTTATAATACAATTGGAATATAAAAGGACTAAAACAATGCATTGAAACTATTTTAGTAACTTTTTAGCTATATATTTAACATAAAAAAGGTTAACTTTTTTCCAAAATTGCTTAATATATCCTAAAATTATTTATTTACTTTTACAACTACTATTTTTCCTCATGTAAATTTGTCATAAAATATATGTAATACAGAAATTTCACTTTATTCTAATTTCTTTTTATATGAAATAAAAACTTTCATCAGTTTCTTAAGTATCGCCATACTTTTGTAATATAGTGCAACCTTGATATAATGATACCACATGAGTAAAGAAACCCTACAGAGGCAAAGCTTCTAAGGAGCTGTCAAAATTTTACCTACTTTGATAGGGTTGGCACAGGAAGATATAATTAAATAAACAAAATGTTTATCAGCTTTTATTATATACTTAAGATAGAATATTTTTTATAAACTAATTATTCTAAATATTTTATTTTATAATTTTTGTTGTTCGACAATTTGTTGTGCCTTTTAATTAAACGGTAAATTATGAATGTTACGTAAATTTTTTAATAATCTATTGGAAAGCACTCACATGGCATAACCAATATACAATCTTGCACACGCTTTAATATTTCATTACCAATATTTACAATGGTTCTTTCAAGACCAAAATATTCAGAAAATTTTAGCTCAAGCAATTCATACGTTAATTTCAGATGCATTCAAAGCATTTCCAAGTAAATATTTTGCAGGTCTTTTTATAGAAAACTTAATACAGGGTTTTTCGAAATGATGTTCAGAGATTTTATATAGTTGCCTTTTTATAATCAAAAAGTTTTGATAGGAGAGATCTTCTCATCCAACAGCTTTTAACCACTTTTGCCATCTGAAATAATAATAATAAAAAAACATAAACCTAGATATTTATTTTAGAAACATACTTATTCAATTATAAACATTATAAAATAATTATTCAATAGTTTGTAGGTTACCTACCTATAAACTATTCTATACACTTCACATTTCAATGTTTACTCTGTGTGTTTACTTCAGCGAATGACATGTTCATGCTTTTCTTCTGTTCATGTATTGTATGTAATTATCTTTTTCTTTCGCTCAAGCAAAAGTAAACGGCTTTTTTCAAAGCCACCAAAGGTATGCAATTGCTGATATGTCATACAATCTATCTAGCAGTATTATGCCTTCTGTGTGCTTTGTTAAACACATCCTCGACAGCACTGAATATGAAACTGAAGAGTAGAGACAGATCAAGATTGGTGTATTTTTATAAAACTGCTAAAACAACAAAACCATATCTTGGGCTTGTCCTAGTTTGGAGCCCTAGCTTTGCCACTGGGTAAGAGAATAACAATAACTGTCTTTCTAAGAATTTAATGTGTCTCAACCTATCAAGATATGATTTATTGCGGAATTAAGTGGGAATAATTAATAGGATATGTTATGTCAAGGTTCTAAGTTGAAAAAATTTGTTAAATAGAGGTAAATAATACCTTCTATCTATTCTCTGCAATGATTAAAAATTCAGTAATGTTCTAGGGGTAGTTCTATTTCTAGTTCTATTCTGAAATAAGATTTTGAAAAATTCGTTAAAACGAGGAATTCGTTAGATTGAGGCTCGTTATATCAATTTTACACTGTAATCGTCAATTATTTGACAGTGTCGCCATTACAGTATGAAAACTCTCCACCCTCTCAGAAATGAGAGAAGGTCTGTAAACATTGGGACGTATGTATAGGCTGTAGGCTTTACTTTAGTTTTAATTTAATATTAAAATATTAGTATTTGTGATATTCAAAAGAATGATGTATTCACAATATTTTCTTAAATATCAGGCACATCTAGCAGCTGCTGTGATATGCCCCAGCGATGAGGATTCTCGTACCTTCACCATTAATTGTGCGTCTGGTGATATGCTGAAGCTAAGAGCAACGGATGCAAGAGCTCGTCAAGAGTGGGTTAACGGACTAAGGGCGATTGCCGAAATACATACAAAAGTAAGTATTACTATTTTTGTATAGTTATGTGTTAAATTTTTACATTTTATTTTCTTTATATTTGTGGTGTTACTACATATTAAGAAACTAGCCTAGCTGTTGTTATAATGGTATTAATACACCACAATGTTAAACATTCAGTCTTTAGACTGAGTGTTGCACAACTGTCGCAAAATCGAGTTGCAGACTCTCTGTATGCTGTTGCATGCATGTATGTTGATGAGCTTGCTTGCATTCAATTGTCAATTTATGTCGATTACTTTTACTTTTTTTTAATAAAATAAGTGTGACAAATGTACACACAGCCCACTAGAAAATAAGTGGATGCTGGGGCCCATAGACATCTACATTTATCTTTGATTAAGAATCAAAATGCAGATGCGTTGTCACCCGTGAGGACTAAGATGGAATACCTCATTTCCAGTAAAGAGGTTCTTTGGTTTTCTTCACTCACTATACAAAACACAGTAGCATTAAGCTACTATTTTACGCTAGTATTCTGTGAGAGGTATTACCTATCATTATTACTTCTTCTTGCTACAACCATAATGTAGCTGCAGTGTGCATCTACCATGTATATTTTATATTTTTCGTACGTTATAACTTCAGTCCAACTTGTCATTGGAATCAATTATAACAAAATGCCATAAGCTACAAAAAAATTCAGTTCAGTTTCGCTAACTTGTTAACTAGACACATTTTGAGAGTTTCTTTTTTTCATAATTATTGTTGATTTTGTTTGTTAATGTCTATTCAAATAAATAAAATTGAAGTGTCTGTTTGTAATGTCAAAATTACAGCGTTTTACTAAATGCATATGAAAGTATAAACGGTACTTATAACAATAATACACTTTTTTAAATTTTTGTCTGTCTGTCTGTTTGTTCCGGCTAATCTCCGAAACGGCTAGACCGATTTTGAGGGGATTTTCACTGGCAGGTAGCTGATCGCATATGGAGTAACTTAGGCTACTTTTATTTTTGAAAAATAATTAGGGTTCCTCGCAAAAAATTAAAATCCTAAATTACACGTGTGTGAAGTCGCGGGAAACAGCTAGTAATAGATCAAATAAATGGTCTTGAATAATTATCTTCAGTCTAAATAACGCCACATTAATAGATATCACCCAGGAGAAACCGGAGCGGGTCGCTAGTTATAATTTTTATTTTAAAACTAGCTGTTCCCCGCGACTTCGCTCGCGTGTTAAGGTTTTTATGTTTTTACACGGAACCCTAATACTTTTTCTAAAAAAAAAGTAGCCTAAGTTACTCCTTATGAAATCAGCTATCTGCCAGTGAAAGTCCCGTCAAAATCGGTCCAGCCGTTTCGGAGATTACCCGGAACAAACAGACAGACAGACAGACAGACAGACAAAATTTTAAAAATTGTATTTTGGTTATAGGTACCGTATTTACTTTCATATGCATTTAGTAAAAAACTTTAATTTTGACATTACAAACAGACACTTCAGTTTTATTTATTTGTATAGATTAATGTACCTACTTACGTATGCAATTCTTTTCAAATATTTTCCAATTAACCGAATAATATTAGCGGGTTTTCGCTATTGTTACTGTGCATGTTGGCGGTACGGGCTCGATGAGCCGCCATTTCTAATCCCACTATTTGTCCGTACGTACTCTTAAGTAGAAAATTGATAAGTCATAAATATTTATATTTTTAGGCAATGGGCGCCAACCCTCCACTTCAGCCCCGAGAGCAGTTGGCCGTGCATGATGCGATGGCATCTGCCAGGCAACAGTTGCAAGCCACAGAACTTAGGTAATATTATTTTTCAAAGAGAAGTAATTACTATGTTTTAGTCTGATTTCATTGAATATATTGGAATATTCTACATTATTGTTCCGCCCATTCAATACAGCCTATAAAAGTCCACTGCTGAACAAAGGCCTCTCATATAAATTGCCGATATAGAGCATTTTGTCATAGTTGCCACGCTTGGAAGGCAGGTTAGCAAGCGCAGGTTTTTTTATTCTGAGTTGTCATCAGGAAGATGCTGCTGCCCAGCTTCTGTTTTAGTTCCCTCTGTCGCCTCTTACAACACGCACGGAACAATATAGGGTAGTGGATGTCCTTACACTGACACTACATGGTTAACATTACTGTAAGGTGCATTCAAAAAGGTACCGTCAGGTATTAAAAAATGTATTCATAAGAAAATGTTTCTATTAGGAATTTCTGTTTCCTACAAGCCCGAATGGAATAGAATAGAATTTTTTTTATTTTATGTAAATCGCTTGCTTCAATTTCTCTCATAATCACGATTCACTATTAAGTTCTTTGTAGAAATTTCAACAGCTGCTGTCAAGTTCCGCAGAATGGAATAAAATAATTTTTATCCAATATTACAAGTAATACATATTGAAAGTTATTTCGTCGTTTGACATACAAAACCGTAAACGTGAAATTCAGCCAAAAATTAATAATAAAATAAATTCATGTGGTCGCCAACCTGAAGGCTAGAGTGACAACTAAAGCAAATATTCTTTCTTAACCAGTGTACGTTTGATAGACTAATATCTGTGTTACCAGTACTAAAATCGTTTTCTAGTTGTTTGTTTACTATAGGCTTGGGATTGTAAAGAAACATTGTAAAAAAAAATTACGTATATGTTACAGTGACGCAGCTTTGGCCCGATGCATTGAATCATCAGATTCACCATTCCCGCATACTGATCCTGATCTGTTATTACTAAAGGTATGAGTTATTTTTATATAAATTTTTTATCCTCTAAAAAGTTTACGCTTCATTCGCTAGCCGGTTGCACAGTCTAACTACTACTAACAGTCGATCAACGAAGGCGTCTAGACGGGGCAATCGTGCGGTGCGGTGCGGGCCGAGATGCGAGCGGACATTAAAATATCTGCTAGGGTTGTCCTGTCACGCAAATAAATTAAAATGGTTCACACAACATGCGCGGTAAAAAACCTTGGGTCGTGCTCATTTAAAGATAGAAGATAGGTTCATCAGTTTTCACATACACATTAATTTGTTTAAGCGTGAAATAAAATAAAATCAGTTTTTGTTTTTATTACTTCCCATTCAGACAGCCCTAGCAATTTACTGTTTATATCGGCTTTTCCGGCAACATCAAACGCGGTGACTGACTATATGTTCTTCTTAGGCTGTGCCGGTTGGTAGCCGAGCGTGTTTCGTTACTTTAATTCCTTGATCCAAGCGAATTGACTTCCTATGTACTAGTACGAAATTAACGAATAGAAGTCCTGTATGCTAACAGAATTTTATTTCATTACCATAGTGTCAAGTATTAACTCCTAATAGTACTTTGTCCTGTGGGTGTCGTAAGAGGCGACAGAGGGTAACTGATATGTTCTTGATAACAATTCAAAATAATATAAAATGGGGTTTCCAAAACAAGGCATTCCGCCGTAATACTCAGGGGTGACCCTTATTCCATAAAAAAAAATAACTACACAAGTCTAAGTCACCTATTCATTTATCTTGGAAATATCAAGCAAAGTATGTGCTTCTGTGTGGCAATGACTAGAAAGTGCTAAAGAAAGTTGTTTATCTGTGTTAGAGCCCGGATAGAAAGTGCTAAAGAAAGTTTTTTATGCGTGGTAGAGCCAAGCAGCAGCTATATTAGTAGTATAGTTGTAGCACGAATGGGTCGGCTCGACCTGACAATGACCACGCTCTCACAGAATACCAGCGTAAAATAGCAGCTTAAGGCTGCTGTGTTTCGTATGGTGTGTCTAGAGAACCGGAGACCCTTTTTACTGGAAACGAGGCATTACATTTTAGTCCTCACGGGTAACAACGCATCTCCATTTTGATTCGTGAATAGATGTAGATGTCTATGGGTCACTGCAACCACTTACCATCAGGTGGACTGTGTGCTCGTTTGCCACCCTTATCCTATAAAAAAAAATCACTCACAGAATACCCATCCTGACCCATATCAAATCATCACTGTTACCACTACAAGGAATGCCACAAACATGATCCTGAGCCACCTGTATCCATCGACTTTTTGCATCTCTTACAAGGTTGTCACACCATCTAGTGGAGGGCGGCCACCCGCCACTTGTGAACTTGTTTTACGTGAATACCGCCACCTTCTTTACCTCCATTTCTTTCTTTGGTAATGGACTCGGACAATTGTACTTATGTTTTACTTACTTTCATATTATCTTGATGTTTACATTACTATCGGGGCACTTGTTTCACCGTTTTCATTAGTTCATATGCGCAGACATTTAGTACACAAAATGCAACATTTTTACGTATGAAAGTCTACTTCAAACCGTTATTTAAACAATAATACAGTTGCGGTCAAATCCCAGCCAAAACTGCCTTCCTCCATTAATGTTTTTCATATTTAAGAAATGGTTGTACGCACTTAGCAAATATATTGCAGCGCAATCAGGCGTGTAGTTTTGGACATCTCGTGATGAGTGAGTGAGTCAGTGGTATTTCACTAATAATATATAGATTACAGCATCTTTTTTCATACTGCAGGCAACATCGGCAGCTAGTATGCAGTGTCTCCTGCAATGCCTCGGAATCCTGCATCGTCAACAACAATATGCAACTGTCAGTGTTTCCAGCAAGAATTCAGACTATGACCATTAGTGGTACAAAATAGTGTGTGATGTGATAGAATATTCGTGAGGTGATTTAAATATGGTGATAAATAATTATATAATTCTATTTAATAAGCTCATTTATGAATTAATTTTCGTTTAGACTTTAAGAAAGAAGGATGTTGTTAATAAAATTGTACTTTTTTCTTTTCTTTGTGTTCATGTATGTTATACGATATCTTTGTCAACTGTGAACAATCCTTTTTTTATAAGTAGTAAACCTCGTGGGTGGTCCCATTTGATTTGTAAAGGTCAAATGTCGCAATTCATATTACAAGTTTAACAACGAATTAACTTAATCATATCAGGATGTTGCATTGGTTTTTGAGAAATATTTTACTGATATTCCGATCTTTACCACTAAGTCACTGAATTATATTCCTGCCGTCGCCGAATAATCACTTAAACAAAATGTAAATGCGTGTATAAAGAATTTTACATTCCATATGGTAAATAATTAATAATAATGTAAAATATTTTAAAACTATTGATATTAAGAAAACGTTGGATGTGGATTTCCGTTAAAGTTATTGCATCTATAATATTATATAAAATCGCATCTCAACTAGCTATTATTTTTAATACTAGTATGGAATCTGGTGTGTTAACTGATTTAATGAAACATGGTAAAGTTATATCTATTTAAATCTGGTAGTACATTGGACCCCGCCAATTTTAAATCTATTTCTGTACTGTGAACGCTTAGTAAAAATTTTAAAAATTGTTTTTGATCAAATGTTAATTTTTATTTAAGGAAAATAATTTACTTCATAAAAATCAATTCGGTTTCACAAGAAATCGTTCGACAACTGATGCTGGTGTTGAGCTGATTATATATCTTCTATGCATAAGAGAATTCGCAGGATGCTTGGGGTATATTCTGTGACCTATCCAAAGCCTTCGATTGTGTTCACCGTGAAACATTGTTGAGAAAACTTAACATTACGGTGTAAGTAGTGATACTTTTAAATTTATTTAATTTTATATTTAAGTGACAGAACGCAAAACGTTGTCATTAATAGTATGAGTTTTTCTGGGTCGATAGTATAAAAGGGCGTGCCTCAGAGCTTAATTCTCGGCCCCTTTTTGTTCCTTATGTATATAAATGACTTACTTTACATAGTAGGGGATATCCATGACATAATATTTTTTGCTGATGACACTTCATTAATTTTCAAATTAAAACGACAATTACTAAAATATGATGCAGTAAATAATGCTATATGTAAATTAGTAAATTGATTTAACATTACTAATTTGCATTGAAATGGCACTAAAACTAATATAAGTATGAAATTCGTAACTCCAAATGTCAAACATCTAAATACTAATATAATTTTAAATGGCGAGGAGCTGAGTCTTGTCGATACCACTCAATGGGGCTCCAATATATTAAAATAGCAAGCAGACATATATCTGCAGCATATGCTGTAAAAAAGATTAGAAATCTTACCAAATAGCATACTGTCTTATTGTATTTTGTTATGGGGACACGCGACTGACAATGGTAAATATATATATTAAAATAAGTAGTTTAAAAAAGTGACATTTATTCTGTAAATACTAGGAACAGACACAAGCTACGAGTAGTAGAGCCAGTTACTCGACTCCATCGAGTCAGTAATTCATTTTTGGGGCGATGTATACTTTGCGATGATAAAACTTTATTAAACAAAGTTTGAATAAAAAGGGTTATTATAATATTAAGAAATATAATATGGATGATAATAACCTCTGGGAATGAGGTGATCGCTACCAAGCTATTTCTAACTTGTTTTGTGTTGTTAATTTAGATTGTAAGCTGTTATTTTTTTTTTCAAAAGAAAAGTCGTACTGGGTTTTCCCAGGACAGAGGTTTTTTTTCGAACCAGTGGTAAATTAAACCAGAGTGACTTTCAATAAGGATTATTTATAATGTATATTGAATAAGAAAGTTTCTGTTTCTGATTTGGACCATTGAGCCTCTAAATATGGAAAAAAGGGGGATTGAGTTTTAAATATAATTCGTTATATTTTGTTTATTGATATTTGTTTTCAGAAATAATTTAAACGAATGTGCAATCATTCTGAAATTGACTCAAGTGCAAGTGGACTGTATTTTATATTTACTTCAGTTTTACTGAGGACTGTATGACTGTTCTATTTAAGAGGTGAATAAAAGGTGGGACGAAGTTATACCGAATTTATTCACTTATTTTCTTCTAAATTAACTATATATTTTATTATGACACTGACTTATTATCTATGGTAAGCTATTACAACTGGGAGGGATTTTCTTCTTTTCTTTTTGTATACTGAAGCTTTTCTGTGCTACAAAGAGAAATGTATGAATGATAAGCACTACGATTGGATCACTACGATTTTTATATTTATTGTTCCAGTAGTGATGGTGTAAGAATATCCACTAGCCTATGTCGTTACGTGGTTGTTGTAAGAAGCGACATAGGGAAACAAACCAGGAGATTGGCAGCAACATCTTCCAATAACAACTGGAGAAAAGCTGCAGTTCCCAACCTGGCTGCTAGTTGGGTTGGATTCAGCTGTAATAGTTGAATGATTTATTATAGACGAACGACGAACAACGCATATTTAGAAGTCTAATTTAGATACACAAAGACTTCTTCATCAGCCCACAAAAGTTTCCCAGTGATTTCTAGATCTCGACAGCAGCGCCCCCTCCTGGACATTAGCCTCTCCCATTGTAGGGGAAAATGTATACGTGGAAGAGCTACGCTGCAGCTATAGTATGGTTGTAGCATGAATGCTTATGCAAGACCGGGATAGGACCACGCTCTCACAGAATACACGGCTGAATGCTACTATGTTTCGTATAGTAAGTACAGAGAACTGGAGACGGAGACCCTTTTTACTGGGAACGAGGAATTCTATCATAGTCCTCAGGGTTGACAAGTGACAACGCATCTGCATTTTGATTCTTAATTGAGGATGGATATAGATGTCTATGGACCACAGTATCCACATATCATCAGCTGGACTGTGTTTGTTCGTCCCCCTTATTCTAAAAAAAAATGATATGACTTAATCGTAACGCTTGGCAGGTGCGTTGACGATCACAGTACCAGACGTGAACACCTTTAACACTGTTGCATATCGCCAGCTTGTGTATTTTACGTCTGGTGAACCGAAGAAACTATACTCAGGGTTTCTCGGCGTGATAAACTTGATAATGAGGATATCCGCGGTAGAACCACAGTAACCGACATAGACTAACGCATTAGCACGCTGAAGTGGCAATGTGCCGGTCATATAGCTCGAAGATCCGATAGCCGATGGGGAAGCAAGGTTCTCGAGTGGCAGTCTCGTACCTTTAGGCGAAGTGTACGGCGTCGCCCTACTAGATGGAGTGACGACCTGGTAAGACATGCAGGAAGTCGATGGATGCAGGTGGGTCAGGACTGTGCTTTGTGACATTTTTTGGGAGTGGCCTATGTTCAGCAGTGAACTTGCGGAGGACTGTAATGATGATGATGAAACCGAAGTGGTTATTCCACTGTGGGAAACCATGAGATCATTCCATTTCCATAATCGCCTTTTAAGAATAACATCCAGGGGACGAAATGAACGTAAACACTTAAAAGTACATATCAGGTCTGTATTAGACATGCGCGCCGCGCCGGCGCCGCCGCGCCACGCCGCGCCCTGGCCACGCCGCGCCGCGCCGACAAATCCGATCGGCGCGCCGTGAACCAACGCGGGACGGGCGCGCGGGCGCGGGCTCAATAAAACCATGCAATTATTTAAAAATTTAAAAATCAATAAGAAAATGTAAAAAGATCGTAAAAATCGTTCGGTATCGCTTACCGGAATTGAAGCGAGCGGCGGAAATAGAACAAATTAAATTTTTACAGTCTCTGGAGCGCGTATCAGAACTTTCAGTATGTATATAAAAACTACTCTGTGATCAGAACATTTGCTACTAGCACGCCTAGTGAGCGCGTTTTTTCTATAGTGGGACTAACTGTGACTGCTAAAAGATCTAGACTAAGCCCAGTACACGTTAATAAAATTATTTTTATTCATGATAACTATACATTATGCAAAAAACACAATTTTAATTTCCTATAGTTTGTGCAAGAAACAAAAAAATGTGCTTTTTCGTTTTTGCACAAATTATAAGGTATAATTAATTAGAACTTTTAAATAAAACTAATTTTACAGATTTTATCGCGTATATTAACTTATTTTACTAAAAATTTTAATCTGGAGGTAGCCGTAGTTAACTATGACATTGGGACGTCATACTAGACATGCGCGCCGCGCCGGCGCCGCCGCGCCACGCCGTGCCCTGCCCACGCCGTGCCGCGCCGACAAATCCGATCGGCGCGCCGTGAACCAACGCGAGACGGGCGCGTGGGCGCGGGGTCAATAAAACCATGCAATTATTTAAAAATTCAAAAATCAATAAGAAAATGTAAAAAGATCGTAAAAATCGTTCGGTATCGCTTACCGGAATTGAAGCGAGCGGCGGAAATAGAACAAATTAAATTTTTACAGTCTCTGGAGCGCGTATCAGAACTTTCAGTATGTATATAAAAAGTACTCTGTGATCAGAACATTTGCTACTAGCACGCCTAGTGAGCGCGTTTTTTCTATAGTGGGACTAACTGTGACTGCTAAAAGATCTAGACTAAGCCCAGGAGGCCTACTCTCTTTCTCCGAAACGAAACTTCGTTAACGAACGAAATTTAAACGAAGTTTCGTGTCTGACCCTACTCTATATCATTTTCGGACGCGCACGCAAAGTTCGAGTCCAAAGACAATTTTCGTGAACGAATGGAACGAACAATGTTATGTATTTTACGAATTTATTAAAATATAATCGTGGTTTTTTATGCATATTATTCCAAAAAATCTTACACAAGCAATAAATATACAAGTTTTCGAAGAAAATCACAGTGACATTAAAATAACCCTTTCAAAGACCGTTAACCGACTAAGTTAAGGTGTACAATAATAACAAACGGTGTTTATAGTATCGTATAACAACCAAACTTATCCGTATTATGACAATGCTGTCAGTCATCACTTGTGGATTTTTTGTTTGCATTCTTTGAAAGTTTGAATAGTTTTAAGTTTGTTTCTCAAGCTCAAGTGTAAGACGTAGGTGGAGATTCTTTCCTGTGTGCTCAAGTGAAGAGTTATTAATATGTTTTGTTTTTTCTTTGCCTACTTTGCAAACGCGATACACATTCCCTGACAAAGTTTCAATTTCAAGTCGCAGTCTTCATATGGGCGTCCTTTGGTCCACAAAGACTTCTATTTGGTTTTATATTCAGAAAGAGTGTAAGTAATGTTAATTGTTTTGCACTTATAATACTTCCATAACATATTTTTTTGTAATAATAGGTACCTATAATTTATTTTCATCTCATCTTTCAGTGTAAAATAATGGCTCCACATACGGGTTCGGCTACTCCTGAACAAATTGATGCACTCCTCAATTTCCTTGACGAGCATAGGGATCTTGCTCGCGGGAGATTGAGGAGTCTAGAAGGAAAAGTCCAGGCGAAGAGGCTGTGGGATGAATTGTGCAATACGCTCAATTCCATGGGCGGTTGCATAAAGACAGTTCAGCAGTGGCAAAAGGTAATTCGTAGTAATATAATTAAATGCTTAAGCTATTTATCAGTGAAAAGTGAGTGACAAAGATTTAATATTTACTTTTATTTTGGATAGGTATGGTTTGATAGAAAACATCTGGCCAAAAAAGCCGCTGCTGATTCCCGGAGGTCGGCTTCAATGACTGGAGGTGGTCCATCAGTGGCACCCCAACTCTCCCATTCGGAATTAAAAGTATTATCCATAATTGGAGATGGGTTCGGTGACCGCCAAATTGGAGCCAGAGTGCCAGCTTTCACTGAAGTAAGTACCTCATCATTCTTTGGTTTCCCTATTTCTAAACTTTGATATGTTCAAATATTTATCTTAATGATATATGATTTTTATTTACAAAATTATTTTTCTATGTGAGTATGCTACTTTTTTTAACCCATCAGGTAAAAATACAATACAATTTGTATTGTGGTAGTCATTAAAAATTAATACTTCACTTAAACATTAAGCATTCAATCTTTTATATTCATTTCAGACGAATGAATCCAGACCATCAACCTACAGTCAAGGAAGCCAACTGCAGCAGCAGAGCCTGGACTTGATTATTTAGAGTTTTTAAGGCAAAATAGGCGTTAGGTTTTAAATAAATTTATTTTTGAATACTATTGTTTCTTTTTACTATTTTTGAGACTATTTGTACTTTCAGATTAAGAAAGCTAAAATAAGAACTTTATTATTACTGAGAGTTGATTATCATGACCATAATTCGATATAATATAAAGATACTGTTAAGTATTTAAAATCATAGAAGTTATTATTTTCTCTGTATGTGACAAAATATCTGCAATGTCATAGGTAAGGATTAAGTAAATATTTGTTGCCATTTTATGAACATCTAGGTAGGTAGGATAACGATAAGTAGGTGAAAAAATAAAACAGAACTAATTTTATGCCTAAAAATATTTTAATCTAGGCTGTTACAAGCACTTGTGAATGTCAAAGAAGCTACGCCATCGGTTCTCAAACCCTAAGCGGGAGACCTTGTAACGAGAAGAACCGGCAAGAAACTCGTTAAGGGCTGATTTTTTTCTGCTTGTATAATATTTCATACAGACTACAGAGTCATCAAATTTGTAAAATGACCTTTAAGGTAATGTAATTTTACATCACAAAAATTAACAAAAGTTTACATACAATGGGCAGGTATTGAAATTTATTATCTACACATCGAAAAGGTAAGAGAAAATAACTTTCAACTAGTTGAGAAAACACTGTCTACTAGGTACCTACTCGAAAATTCATACCTAAATAGATAATGTTGTACAATATGCAATATTAACTAAATTCATTAGACATAAAAGTTAACATTAAAAAAAACGCATTGCTTACAATTATAACAAGATAAGAAGTGTATGTTTTAGGTAAGAAGTGAGTGCCATACATTTCAGTAATATTAATTCCTAATCCTATAATATTATAAATGAAAAAGTATGGATTTTGATTGTTACTTAATCACAAATAAACGGCTTAAATGTGGCTGATATGATGATGATGATGATTATCTCCTAAAACAAAAAAAAGTTTTTAATTGAGTTTATTTTAATCTACTTGCATAATTGTTTGGTTTGAGTTTATCTTACCGGTTCCTTTCTAACATTTGTATTAATGAATTCCTTGCCCTTCGACCTGCCTGTAGAGCTTGAGTAGAAGATGCGGCTGTTTCAAAGGGAACCTGCCTGGTTCTCTCCGATTGGTGTTCCTCTTCAGTCAACTCGGGACCTTCAATACCAGCCCTTATACACATGTTGTGTAAAACACAGCAGGCTAATATAATTTTACCTGCTGTTTCTGGGCAGTAATGGAGTTCCCTAGCTGCCAAAAGACATCTCCATCGACCCTTCAATACACCAAATGTGCGTTCTATGGTGCAGCGTACACGTTTTTGGAGGTAATTGTACCTTCCCTCTGGAGAGTTCTCAACAGCATTATCTACAGGTGTCATCATATGCTCCCTTAGAGCATAACCAGAATCACCTAAAAATTAAAAAATATAATATTAGTGTAAATTGCATCATCACATTACTTACACATAATGAATATCAAAACTATAAATCAAGACATGCCTAATAGATAAACTGTTTCATCCTGGAAACCCTCCAAGTGGTTTCTTATCTCACATTCCCTCCAAATATAAGCGTCGTGAGTTGCTCCACCATATGAAGCATCAACATTTGTAATTAATAAATCACTGTCACATATCTGAAAAAGAATTTCCATCAATGTAACATAGGATAAAATGTAAGTAATAAAATAGTGAATGTCATAATAAAAACATTAAAATATTGTACATAAACTTACAACTTGAGTATTAATCGAATGAAAATGTTTTCGATTAAAATATCGTTCCTCGTGCTCCGAAGGCCTCACTATGGCTACATGTGAACAATCAATGCACCCCACCACAGCGGGTAGCCCATATTTATCATAAAATCTACAATAAGGATACAATATTATTATAGAATAGTAAATTGTACAATAAAATTATATTTGTTTTTGCATGACTTATTTGCCTAGTCTTGGCACACTTTTTATGTAAATTGTTCATTTAAAATAACAGAATAATATTTTAATTACTAGGTATTTCACATGTTAATAAGTTTAACGGCCAATACTAGATGGGAAGGTAAGTACTTACTTCTGCTTAATAAGATTCCTTTCATTCCTATTTTGTGGGAATCTTATGTGCTTCCTTAGTAAGTGAGGTGCATTAAGTGCAGTTGTTACCTCTTGTAAACAACGGGACACTGTCTGTTGTGCCATGGGCCCATCCATATTTTGTCCCACTGACCCCTGGTAACTTCCTCGGGCATAAAAGTTCAAAGCAGTAAGTATCTGAAATACATTAACACAGTTGAGGCTTATGAACAGTAAAATGAAAAATTAAAGAGAAGGTTTAAACAATTTAAACTTACTTTAAGTGTGGGCTCGATTCCATGTCGTCTTCCCTTTGGAGGCAATAAAGGCACTATGTCCTGGCACAACTCCTCGAATAATTCCCGACTGAGTCTGTAATTTCCGACAAACTCTAGATCGGGAATATTTGAAATATTTAATTGATTACGCAGGCGGCGCCGGTTCCTTCTACGCTCCAATCGTTCTTCACGTAAAGCAGCCGCGATTAAAAGCTGTCTCGTAGCCATTTTAGTTAAATTTTTAACAAAATCGACCAAAACGAAAATAAAAAGTTAACACTTTTGGTTTCGTCAATTTGAGGTTAAAATTACGAACAAGTATCTGTCAAACTTCAATTTTCGTTCGTAACTTTAGTGCAATAGAGTAGGCTTAGAGAATTTAAACGTCAAACTAATTTCGTTTCAACGAAGTTTCGAATCGAATGGAACCATGGTAGGAATTGAGCGAAATTTCGATCGAAATTTCGTTTTTCGTTGAATTAGAGTAGACCTCCAGTACACGTTAATAAAATTATTTTTATTCATGATAATTATACATTATGCAAAAAACACAATTTTAATTTCCTATAGTTTGTGCAAGAAACAAAAAAATGTGCTTTTTCGTTTTTGCACAAATTATAGACATAGACATAGACATAGACATGCATTTATTCAGCAACATACACTCATACAGTTTTGATACAGAAAAGAAAATAAAACATAAACACTATTAATTAAGGTATAATTAATTAGAACTTGTTTGGTTTGTTTTTATTTTGAGAAATTAAATTTGAATTCCTATCCATGTCTATGTTTCACTTGTTACTACCTTATTTTAAATAAATGTTTATAAAAATTAAAATAAAATACGGCCGCGCCGGCGCGGCGTCGCCACGCCGACCACAATGGGTCGGCGCGCCGCCGCCGCCGAATTCTTGCTCGGCGCGCATGTCTACGTCATACACCTCAGTACCCCCGTGACCATGGGTGCTGCAAAGTGCTTGAAACGTCGGGAAAGTAAAATAAGTTAATATACGCGATAAAATCCGTAAAATTAGTTTTATTTAAATGTGTAGTGTTCGCGTAAATATAAGAAATCATTAATTAGAACTTGTTTAGTTTGTTTTTATTTTGAGAAATTAAATTTGAATTCCTATCCAGGTCTATGTTTCACTTGTTACTACCTTATTTTAAATAAATGTTTATAAAAATTAAAATAAAATACGGCCACGCCGGCGCGGCGTCGCCACGCCGACCACAATGGGTCGGCGCGCCGCCGCCGCCGAATTCTTGCTCGGCGCGCATGTCTAGTCTGTATATCACCTTGTGATAAAATACTTGTTTTTCGATTTCTTAAAACACTTATTACTCATTTGATAACGTTCAAAAACAATAAAATCAGTTAACCGGTTCACCATTGATTACTTTTGTGTGTGGCATATGACACACGAGTCGTGTCTTTTTAAAAATCGTTATAACTCGCTCAAATTGCGTTTTTGGAAAATTTATCCAGAACAAAATATTATTTTGCAAGTAGTTCATGCCTGTGGCTTCGTTTCTGGATATTTTGAAATTTTTCGGGGTTGACAACCTTTTTTTAACTTGTACTTGGTACTCTTTTTACTTTATGGGTTTTCAACCATGTTGTGAAAAATTGTCTAATAAGTAAGAAATAATAGCACTCATTGCGATCGCGTACAAAATCAAGTTGTAAATAAATTTCTGGAAAACAAGTCTTCTGTTAAAAAAAAAAACAATGCGTTTGTCTTATTGTTTCATTTTTTTACTATCATATGGCCGAATAGACCTACGAAGTACCATGTGCTCTTGTCATATGGTTTAATTTTGCTTAAAACAGTTTGAAACCGTTCATGCATTAAAAAAGTTCGCTAATAAATAGTCTTTTGTCAATCCGCCGCCGTATAGCGCCGGTGTTTGTTTCCTTTTGAAAACACTTGTTTTGTTATTCTTACTAATTAGACGTTTTCAAATCGACTTTACTTTTACATTTGTACAACATAATACTTAACATTTGTAAATATTAATGAATCATAAACCTTATTTTTTTTCCAAATTAAGGTTCTTGATTGTTTGATATTTACAAATATTATTATTAGGTGAAAATTTAATTTAATAAATACCAAGGTTTTCCAGGATGATTTAGCTGTACCTACTTAGCTGTAAACTACTTGCAAAATAATGAATATTTTGTTCTGGATAAATTTTACAAAAACGCAATTTGAACGAGTTATAACGATTTTTAAAAAGACATTACTCTTGTGTCATTCGCCACACACATAAGTAATCGATGGCACGCCGGGCGTGTCATCCGCACTGCACCGGTTAAGATAGTAAATGCACTTTCGCAATCTACAAGACAATCAAATAGCCATTGAGGTTTATCGACACAACATCGCCATATATTATGGTTGGTGCTGATACTGTATTGTAGTTCATGGATCTATACAAATAAATAAAATTGGATTGTATGTAATGTCAAAATAACAGCTTTTACATATTGCATATGAAAGTATATAAGGTACCTATAATAGAAAATCAATTTTTAAATATTTTCTCTATGTCTGATTGTTCGGGCTACTCTCCGAAACGGCTGGACCGATTTGATGGATGATGTTATCAGGAGTAACTTAGGCTACTTTTATTTTAGAAAAAGAATGAGGGGCCCGCGCAAAAAAATTAAAACCCATGAAATTTTGATCAAAATCCGATTCAAATAGGGAAGTATAATAATAAATTATTAAAAACTATGCGCACGAAGTCGCGGGCACAGCTAGTATTAAATAAAACTGCGTTAATGGTGGTGAACTATATATACATCAACAGAATCTAGGGATATTACCTATATATATCACCCTTATTCTAAAAATATATATATATATATATATATATATATATATATATATATATATATATATTTTTAGAATAAGGGTGGCAAACGAGCACAGTCCACCAGGTAAGTAAGCAGTTGCTGTGGCCCATAGACATCTACATATATCTTCGTTTGCGAATTAAAATGCAGATGTGTTGTCACCCGTGAGGACTAAGATGGAATGCCTCTTCTCCAGTAAAAAGGGTTTCCGGTTCTCTACACTCAACATACGAAACACAGCAGTGTTAAGCAGCTTAACACTGTGCTTAACACTGCATTTTGATTCTTTATTGAGGATAGATATAGATGTCTATGGGTCACAGCAACTACTTACCATCAGGTGGACTGTGTGCCCGTTTGTCACCCTATCCTATTAAAAAAACATTTCGTAATTTTCTTGTAATTTTTTTTAATCGCCGTAGAAAATTTGTTCGATAAAAAACTTCATTTCTTCTTATAAAACTATTAATTTTAATTAAAATTGAAAAAGTATTATCAAATCTAATTATTAATAATCAATGTTGCCACCTCTTACATTAATTACACATCGACATTGATGGTTCATACTTAAAATTAAATTGACAGTCTTGCGGTATGAGGTCCCATGTTCTTTGCAAGTGTTCGTAAGTTGTTTTTTCTTCGTTCAAGTACGGTGGGAAATCTCTTAAAGCTTTTCGTTGTAACATGTCCCAGGCATGCTCGATAGGATCTAAGTCGGGCGACTGTGCAGGCCAATCCAAAACTTGAATATCATGGTCTCGGAGAGCGGGCGAAACCAGTCGCGCCGTATGGGTAGGAGCATTATCGTGCATGAGTAGAATATCTGGCCCATTTGGATTCTGTGTGGGACAATAACAGGCTCTATTAACTCCTCGTGGTATTTTTGTACAGTTATACTGCCTTGGATCCAAACGAGATGGGTTCGTCCGCCAGGATTCCTACCTACACCATTATTGTCCCGCCTTGGTATGAGTGGACTTCCTGAGGGTGCCGTAGACGGCTAACACTCCCTGGAGTTCTCTATACGCGTGATCTTTGTGAATCCGAATGAAACCCAAACCGGAACTCATCGGTGAACAGCACCGAAGACCGTTGTTTGTCACTCCATTGTAAATGCTCCCGAGCCCACAAAAGTCGCTGAACGCGTCGCAGTGCTGGAACACGTAGCGGTCTTCGAGCATGAAGACATACTTCATGCAACCTCCTTCGTACGGTTTGGTCGCATACCAGCAGCTGGTGGTCCTCTTGGAGCCTTTGTAGTAGTTGCATCGCTGTGATATTGGGTTGTCTTCTGGCGTTCATTTGGAGAAATGGATCCTGTCTCTGCATAGTACTACGATATCTACCCGTGTGCCGTTCAACCACAAATTTGATATCACGTTTTGGCTGCCGTGTAGGGCCTCAGCAACAACACCTTGAATAGCACCATTTTCTAACATGCCCACGGCTCTTAACATTTCATCTCCACTCAAATAATAACTTGAAGCTCACACGGCACGTTAAATTAAAAAAGAAAAACTCTTTTCATTGATTAATATCAGTAGAACAATTTTAATTTTCCTTGACGTAACGAATTACTAACAATTTTGCCGCCGTATTTTGTTTTTTCTTTTGTTTTTTTTATATTTACATGTTTAAATTTTTAAAATAGAATAAAAGAGGTTTCAATCTGTATATAAACTTTTTATGGAAACTAAAAAGATTTTAAACTGTAAAGTAGAATTTTAAAGGGGGATCAGTCGCTTGCGTCCGTAGGCTTCGACCACCTAACCCTAAGCCCACCCTACACGTGTCCCCCGGGTGGTGTTAAACGAGCGACAAAGCCGAAACGATAGACTCGGCTCCACGCCGTATGGTAACGGCGTAAAATCTACCATCCCTTAGTTCGAGTTCCCGGCGCCCCTTTAATGGGGCAGGGGTGCGAAAAATCTCCGGGAGAAAACCGGCGACGAGGTTCGCCACCCGTCACGTCCTGTCTCCCGGAGGAGCAAAAAGTGGATTGTGGAGGCCCGTCTGGCTACGCTGAATGTATGTGGAGCAATGAATGATAAGATGGATGAATTATGCGAAATAATGAATGATAGAGGAATAGATGTGTTATGTGTGAATGAGACGAAACGAAAGGGAAGAGATGTCACTGCACATGGCATGTATACCGCTTACTGGTCTGGTTTAGACGAGACCGAGCGGGCATGCCAGGGAGTAGGTGTCATCCTTTCAGAAAGAATGGGTCAATGTGTGAAAGAGTATGAATGTATAAGCCCAAGGCTGCTGTGGATACGAATGAAAGTGGGCTTAAAGAAGTCGTTCGTGCTTGGGGTGTACGCCCCAGATATGTCTAAGCCCACTTATATCCGAGAGCAGTTTTGAGACATGGTAAGGCTGGTGTTGACGAAATGTAAGGAAAATGAAAATATTATTATGTTAGGAGATTT